TTTTTTTTTTTTGTACCAGGAATTGAATTCAGGACATTGTGCTTGCCTGGCAAGCACTTATGCCGCTGAGCTATCTCCCCGGCCCCCAATTCTGATTTGAACCTTCTTGGAATTGCCTGCTGTTCCGTCTGCTCTAGTCCTTCCTACCACTCTCTCCATTGCACCCCAGTTTCCTCCGAGTCTTGGCTTTGGGCCTGTGTCTTCACTGTCCGGGCTCGCTCCGCACTCACATACAGCATCACACCCAGCCCCAGCTCACCAACCCTCCGCGCACCCTGCGCCTACAGGGTGCAGTCTACACTCCAGCACGTTTTTCTCGGAGACACGCAAGGAAAAGTTTTTCAACTAGACAACCCCGGGTTTCGTTTCTAACTCTGAGGAGTGGCTCAGTCCAGGGTCTTCCGAAAGAAGGGGACAGGACAGGGTCGCGGAGGGGGGTCTGTGAGGGTGCGGCGGGCGGCAGAGGGAGGAGCCTGGGGCGAGGTGAGGAGTTGGAGTTGGAGTTGGGGCACTCAGCAGGGAGTGGAGGCTGCGGTGTGCTTCACAAGGGCGGAAACTCCCGAGGAAGGTCTTGGGGGCTCGGACACCTTGTCCCAACCCGCGCTGACTTTGGACCGACCCTGAAACGGAGGGGTGCAGCAGGGGAAAGGTCGAGGGGGGAGTGTCCCCTGCGCCGCGCCCAGGGCCCTGACCTCAGCGCCCAGCCAGACTAAGGAGGTGCGGCGCCGCAACGCCAGGTTCGTGCCCCGGCGCCCCGACGTTACCTGAGGAGGCTCCAAGCGGCCGGAGCGGAGCCGGGGCGGGCGGGCGCGGGCGCGGGAGCCGGCGGCCCAGGGCAAGCATAGTAGCCCGCGCGGCTCCAGGTGGCGGCGACTTTTCAGCCGGCCGAGGTGGTGGGGGTCCCTTGAGCGCACGCGGGCGAGTCAGCGGGGCTAGCAGTGGCCCAGGACGAGGAGACCGTTGCCATGGCCCCGCCGTCGAGGCCGTTTCCCCCGCGCCTGCTTGGCGGGGCCAGGAGGACGAGCCTGCGGGGGAGACCTAAAGGGCAGCGGGAAGCTCCTCCAGGACTCCCGGCCGAGGACTGCTAAAGCTTAGGCAGGCGAGCTAGGGGCGGGGTCACCTCCGGTCACGCCCCCTATGGATCCTCCCTCAGACCAGCCAATCAATGGTTGATCTTTGATAAACGAGCTAGTAGAATTGTCCAATTAGCGTTAGGAATGCCACGTGGTATGAGGGCGGGCACAACGGGCGTACAGAAAAGCCAATCAACACCCCTAGGCGCCAACTCTTTGAGAATGAAGGGAACCAATAGGAAGAAAGTGAAGGTAAAAACAGAAGAGGCAGTGTGTCTAAAAGGAAGAACCTAGGGGCAGAGACTACTCCAGAGGAAATCCAGAGCCAAGAAGTTTCTCAGAAGGCAAAAAAGCAACCCAGGAGGGACTAATCAAAACGTCAAAGACAAAACAATTGGTAATAGACAAAGTAAAAAAATGGAGTACATGAACGCGACTTTTGAGTTGGTTAAATAAAGTATAACTGAGAAAGGAAAAGCCATTTGTGCATGGTGGCACATGCCTGTAATCCCAGCATTGAGAGCATTCCAGGACTGGGAAAATTAGCTCAGCATCTCAAGCGCCTGCCTGGCAAGCACAAGGTCCTGGGTTCAATCCCCAATACCCACCCCCCCAAAAAAAAGGAAAAGAAAGAAAAAAGAGACAATTCCAGACTAAACTGTACAGCGAGACCTTGTCTTAAAAAAAAAAAAAGTATGAAAAATAGAAATAAAATAAATTAATAGAAAAGAAAGAAAAAGGAAATCCACGTGAATGCAGTGTTCTGCAGCGTCTTCACAGAGCCAAACAATGAGGGAAAGATTAAAAGACTGGACTGTTGGGGCTGAGGAGTTGGCTTAGTAGAATAAGCGCTTCCCTGGCAAGTTCAAGGGCCTGAGTTCAGTCCCCGGTTTCATAAAAAAAAAATAATAATAATAATAATAAATAAAAGACTAGACTGTGGAGGCTTAAAAGAGGTAACACTTCAACTGGCCTGAAAACAGTCTTTTGGAAGAGGTGTGTTAAAAGAATTCAATCCAACTGATAAATGGGTACAACTGGGTGTGGTGGCATACGCCTGTAATCCTGGCACTCAAAAGGCTGAGGCAGGCAGATCACCAAGAGATCAAGGCTAGCTTAGGCTATACACTGAGTTCAAGGCCTGAACTACAAAGCAAAGACTGTCTAAAAAAAAAAAAAAAGCACCTATTTCCTCACACCTTCCATTTGCCAGGGCCCTGGGAGTTCCTAAACTCAAGCCTCAGGAGCTGCGCCAGCGAGCAAGAGCAAGGAGGACTGTAAAGGATAGGCCTTACAGCACCAGAATTCCATAGTGTTATGGACCTCCTTTCAATCTTTAGACTCCTCTCTTCTGGAAGAGGGGGATCTTGATAGGTGAGTGGGATTTAAATAATCAGATTACTGTTGATCCTGGTGGCAGCGAAATTTAAGGAAGATGTAGAGTTAAAAAAAAAAAGGGGGGGGGGATGGTTACAGCTCAGCACTGTAGTCCCTCCCTGGCAAGCACAATGACCCGGGTTCAATCTCTGGTACTGCACGTGGTGCACTGAAACTGAGCGTGGTGGTGCACACCTATAATCCCAGCGCTGGGGAAACTGAGACAGGAGGATCACTAGAGTCTCAGCTGCTTAGCAAGACCCCATATGAACGAACAAATGGACCCCATATGAACAAACAAATGAATGAAAGAAAGAAGAAAGGAAAAGAAGAACAGGTCCCCCCCCAAAAAAAAAAAAACAAAAATAGAGGAAAAAAGAGATTAAATGTGGGCTGAGTTTATATGCCAAAATGGGCACTGTTTAGGAACATTAATTAATAGCTCGCAAAAATCTCTGAAAGGAGAAAAATATCACCAGTCAAGTTCTCTGGTCTAAAGCATTTTTAGTATCATTCTTAAACAACAAATCATGTGCTGCCACCTGGTGACAGTTCAAATACTACTGTTCTAGGAAAGAAAGGGAAGGGAAGGGAAGGGAAGGCAGGGGAGGGGAGGGGAGGGAAAGGGAA